TGTTTACCCGAAAAATCGGATAACGTTGAATTTGTATATGGTTCTAAGGGTACGTAAAATCTTTTGATACAAAGACAACAATACAAGAATTTTGGCTATGAGAGCAGAAAAGATGAACAGGAAAATTTTTGGTAGGATGCCGTGAACACAGGCTTAAGTATATCTCTTTTTTGTATGAGTCCCCAGTTGCTTTTTTGTCTACAAGGATGCCCTTTTTATAAGAGAGGGTCATTGCTCTATCTACAACAAAATATAAAATAATACATATAGTGGAGGACCCATGATGATTTGTCTCCTCCTTGATTCCCGTTAAGATTCTCTACCTTGGTGCGGTTGCAACGACTTTTGTCCGCGAGCTCGATACTGGTTCGAGCTCGATACTGGACCGAGCCATCGGCCTTGGTCGAGGCTCGATTCTGACCTGGGGATCTCGGTGTTTGGTGTGCAAGTTGGTCGGTCTCCGAATCCTCGATGATCTCTACCTTGCTTCGTAGTCTGATTTGGGTATGAGCTCGATAATGATATCGAGCTACCATAGGTCGTTCTCGATGCTCGATAAAGATATCGAACAGGTCATTGACCGGTCTTGAAGCTCGGAGCTCGACGTCCCTATTTCGTACTTTGACCGGGCATGTTATGCAGATGTTCTTTGATCGATACACCATTATCTTCGACCAGCCCGTATGAATGACTAAAATCGGTTTTAACCTTATACAATCTTAGAGTCCTATAATCAGTGCAAAATTAGTTTTACTCGTGCAAGTTAATTAGTACTATTTTGTCTTGTATTCCGAAATATGTTCAAAATTTTCCCATTCCGAGTAAATCTAATGGTAATAGTTGCACTTATGCTGAGCTGAATTAACACTAAACACTCACCCTCACATTCATTGTGTCACAAATGTATGTCTATTCTTGGGCATAGCTAAAGAATGATGCTCAAAAGATTAGCCTACTCAATGAGTTTTTCTATTTATAATCTTGTACTCATTGTATGTCTGAGTTGTAGTTTCTTGCATATCTCTATTTGATCCTGCATCCCAAGCTTAAGGATAACAGCTGGTAGGTTGATTCCTAGTAGGTTGATTCACCGTTATTACTGTAAAAACAATTTGCTAATGTCTTGTCAATTATTTGATTGAATTTTCTTTTTTCCTTTTAATCAACAGTTTTTCTTTTGCCAATTCCCTAATTTTAAACCTGTTCATTTTGCCTTTCTTTTTATTTCCCGCTTAATTGTGTCCTCAATGTTCTGTGTTTTGGTTCGTGTAACAAACTTTCCTGCAAGTTGGTTACAGACCCTTTTAGGTTGGATTTCAGTCTGCAATATGGGCAACACATACCATCTTGATTCATTAATTTTGAACTTTCCAGGTTAAAGATGCTCTTGTGCAGTTTGACACGGCGCTTACTTTAGATCCCACCCCTATCGAGGCTCAAGCTGCTCTTTATAATAAAGCATGCTGCCATGCCTACAGGTAGATTTCTCCTTTGCCTCTTTCGTGGTTGATCTGGATAAACATTAATTTGTTTGAAGCCATGTTGAGGAAAAACATACTCCTGAGTTTCTTCTCTTGTAAACTGCAAGTAAAGGAACCTAAAATTTCTTAATCACAGTTATTAGCTTAATTGTTTCATTGGAAGGATCACAAAGAACAATGTTGAAACTTCAAAGAGCATCTCAAAGGAGCTTACTTTTTTAATTCTTCTTTGTCACTCTTTTATTATTTGTTTATATGTTTATTTATTTTCTTTATTTACTAAGAGGGGAAGGAAAGAAAGCTGCTGACTGTTTACGCACGGCTTTGAAAGAGTATAACCTAAAGTTTGGCACAATCCTTAATGATCCGGATTTGGCTTCCTTCAGATCATTGCCTGAATTTAAGGAACTACAGGAAGAGGTTTGTTTCCCGCTGATGAATATAGTTCTTTAGTTATCATCATGCTTGGATGTATGAATTCGTTTCAGTTCTTTATCAAATTGATTATGTGATTATGTTATCGGTATCTTAACTTAGCAAGGCTCTAGCTTTACTTCATTATTTCTGAATCTCATAGTCTTTTATTACCTCACAGGCTAGGTTAGGAGGGGAAGACGTAGGGTACAGTTTCCGTAGAGACCTTAAGCTCATCAGCGAGGTACAAGCACCATTTAGAGGGGTCAGAAGATTCTTCTATGTGGCATTCACCGCTGCTGCTGGAATTTCTACATTTTTCACTATACCCAGGTTAATCCGTGCAATTCAAGGTGGAGAGGGTGCTCCTGATGTTGGGGAGACTGCAGGAAATGTTGCTATAAATGTCGTTGGTAAATAATGACTGCATTTGCTATGGATTGTATAGTTCACTTCTGAAGTTCTGTAAAATGATGTTTACTTGGTATATTAATTAACGCTTCTTAATGGAAACGAACTGTTTCTTAAAAATGATTAAGCTCTTGAACCAGCACTCTGCAGGTATTATTGTTTTTGTGGCTTTGTTTCTTTGGGAGAACAAAAAAGAGGAGGAACAGCTTGCACAAATATCACGTGATGAAACACTATCAAGGTTGCCTTTGCGCCTTTCAACTAATAGGATTGTTGAACTGGTCCAGCTAAGAGACACCGTGAGGCCTGTTAGTGAGACCACTTCCCCTTTACTCTTCTTGTTTTCAATTTCCAGAAGTAAGCAGAAGTTGAGTAGAAAACATCAGTAGGAGTCCTTCAATTTGTCACTTAAAGAATGACAAGTCCTGTACAACTCTTACTAGGGTCACATGTCTAGTTCTTGTTGCCACATATTCTGCTTAATAGATCAAAAGATATGGTTTGCCTCTCCTCTTAAACAAAGAAGAAAGCTTTTCCATCACATTTATATTGCCGGAAGGATGATGACAGAAAAGTTAGTTCCACATTTTGCTAAGTTTGCAACAAATGCCTTTTTTTAATGAGCAAAAAGATATCCCATTACGTATTTGTTCTATCTTTTTTTGAAATTCCTGACTTGGAACATACTTTCTCCTCTTATATGGAGTTTGACCAGTTGCTTGTTAGGTTATTTTGGCTGGGAAGAAGGAGACAGTCTCTCTGGCTATGAGAAATGCTGAGAGATTCCGCTCTGAGCTTCTTAAACGCGGAGTCCTTCTAGTTCCTGTTATTTGGGGTGAAGGTAGGGAAACAAAAATAGAGAAGAAAGGTTTTGGTCTTCCTCAAAAGGCAGCCGCTTCTCTCCCATCAATAGGGGTAAGATTGAAGATTTTTAATAGCACTTAATGATCATTATAAACAACATGATGCTATAGCATGCACGTCAAGTTCATGATTCTTGCTTACTTTTTGCTCAAAGTCCAGAAGAATCTTTTTACCCGCTACCAGTGGCAGAGGCAGGATTTCCACTAAGGGGTTCAAAAAAGAAAAAAAGTTCAAAAATTAAAAGAGATTGTGGCCAATAGGAATTGAACTAGTGACTTCACAAAGATTTTGAACCCCCTTGACCATTAAGCTATACTTTTGAGCTATGTCAAGGGGCTTCAAAACATAATATATAGAGGTAAAAAAACAGATTTCGGCGAAGGGCGTTCGGGTGAACCCCCTTCCACCGCCCTAAATCCGCCCCTGCCCGCTACTGATTATTGAAAGTCGTTTCATGTTGCTCAAAAAAGCATGATACAATAATAATCTTAATGTTGCATGTATCTGTTTATGTTTTCTTATTTTTCTCCCATTGCTACTGTAGGAAGATTTTGACCAAAGAACTCAGTCAGTAATTGCAAAATCAAAATTGAAGTCAGAGATCCGGTTCAAGGCGGAGACCGTTTCACCTGTAGAGTGGGAAAGGTATCAACCTTTTCTTAATACACTTGAAACTACTTATCATCTTCTTGGACATTTATGTTTGTGGCATTTTTATCTTAAGGACATCCTGGCGCGCTCAGTTTGATCGACTGAAATTTTTCTTTGTGCCCATACGGGAAAGACCTATTTCTTATTGATTAATTATGTTTAACCTCACTCTGTTTCAGGTGGATAAGGGATCAACAGAAGTCTGAAGGTGTTACTCCTGGTGAAGATGTCTACATTATACTTCGTCTAGATGGTCGTGTTCGACGATCAGGAAAGGTCAGTCAGTGCGTGTAAAATTCTTTGTGCTGCAATTCTTTTCTCTGCTCCGTTGATTATGAACCAATTATGTGCTTATTCGCATATGTAATTAGCAAAAAAAAAGTCATTGATGACTCTAAAATCCACCAGTCAAGTAAGATGCCTTTGCAGTGGCGTACAAATATTCGTGTCTGTGTTGTTTATAATTTACTTTTTCCTTTCTGGTTTAATTCTTTGTGAGATTTTAATATTGACCAACTCTGCAGGGGATACCTGACTGGTCTCAAATTGTGAAGGAACTACCTCCAATGGAAGCAATATTAAGCAAGCTAGAAAGATAATACAAGTTTCTCCGGTTGTGTGCTAAAAGCTTTTCACTACCTGTTGTATTTTGTGTCAGTTTCCTTTCTTGAAATATACAAGGCGCTGATTGATGCTTGTCGAGCTCTAACTTACTTACTCTTGTTTGATCTATACATATTGATATAGTTATTTAATTTTGAAGTCAGAGGTGGAGGTGGATTCATGATTTTAAATCAATGGACACGAAATACCAGTGTAGTCATCAATTTTTATGACAATAAATAAATGTGGACTTAGTACTTATGTATATATTTGAAAAAATTAAAATCTGATACTATATAGTTTCAATAGCACTTTTGGTCGTAAAAGGTGCATCTGCCTATGCTTGAAGTCTTTGTTTTCCCGTTTCCTTAATGAATGTTGGCACAATCAACTGGACAAAGAAGAGAAACAAGAGAAGCATTTCTAAGGAGTTGGCTGGGGGAGTAATCTCTGCTTTGGTAGTTGACTTCTTTTGGAAATAATAATATGGTTTCTTGCATACGTTTAAACTGAGTTTGGTTCAGAAATTGTTGAAGGGTCGATCTATTTTTAATTATTAACTAAGTAATTTTTAATCAAAACGAGGAGATTTAAGCTTGAATTATTCCAACAAGAAGATATTCTAAACCTACTTCAACAAAAAAATAATAACTCTGCCGGGAAGACTTCTGCATAAACTATAAGGTGAAGGGACCAAGGTCCAAGATGATTGCCCATTTTATTATGATCTATTCCTCCGACAATTTGCGTCCCTCCTTTGCCTGCACGGTCACTCTACTTAAATGCATTTATTTAAAACTAGAATACTCATAATTTCAGCAATTTCTTATGGATTATGAAGTATTTAACTGTTACTTGTAAATTAAAACACAACATACTTAAAACCTTAAGGATAATTGACTTACATATATGTGATGATTTAATTGCTTGAAATAATATTTTACATATTTGAAATCAATAAAAAGACTAGTCTATTAATCACAATAATATTTTAAAATTAGTCAGGAATAAATTGTTTGAGGGAAGGATGCCGAGGGTCTATTGGAAACAGTCTCTCTATCCCAGGGTAGGGGTAAGGTTTGCGTACACATTACTCTCCCCAAACCCCACTAGTGGGATTATACTGGGTTGTTGTTGTTGTTGTTGTTGTTGTTTGAATAAATTGTTTGACTCCGTTAATAGTTGTGGTATATATAAGTCAGGAGTAAGGGTGCACATAGGTCGGGTTAGTTCGGATTTTTTAATTATCAAATCAAATCAATGATGTCGGGTTTTTAAATTTATAAACCAAACCAAACCAACAAAGTTGGGTTTTTTAATCTCGGGTTTTTCGGGTTTTTTCCCGGTAAAGTCTTCATAGCATAAAATATATAACTTGTGCTCCAAATATTTCTTAAGTCCTAGTAAAATACAACTATATAATGTGTTTTCCAAAAAACTAACACAATAATATGAGATTAGTTATAGCATTATACTAAAAAATATTCAATAACAAAGATAAAATAATAAAATTATATAAAATAAATATTGCTAATTAATAAGCCATAATAAAAATTAACATAATCTGAAAATACTATATAGGTCATGCTAAAATAAGTATAGCTAATAAGTACTAATATTAATTACATAACTAAGCACTAAAGAAAAAGATAAACTAAGTTATGCATTTTCATTATAAACCGATGTAAAACTAAAATAATTATCCAACACTTTCGTCATTCCTAGTATTGAATTGAATTTCTTTTGTTAGCATTAGTATTGATTTGAACTTTATTTGAGTTATTACATTTATGTGCTATAAAATTTATTTACCATTCAAGAATGTTAAGTTTAAACTTGAAATAATACGTTAAAAGATAAAACTGTAAAAAAGTTTAAGAAATATTTATAAATTACATTACAATAAATATTTATATGTATAAAATATTTTTAAAAATTATATAAATGTATTATATATCGGGTTGGTTTGATTTCGGTTTGACTTTTTTTAGTTAAAACTAAACCAAACTGTTTACCGAAAAAATCAGATAACGTTAAATTTGTGGATTGTTCTAAGGATATGCGATACAATTTGATATAAATCGCGTAGAGAAATGAAAATATGTGTATTGTTGACTGTAAGAACGAAAATAATAAGCAAAAAGAATGAATAAGTAAAACAAGCATAAGGGGATTACTATCAATATCTAGAGGAAGTGATCTTTTTTATGTTCAACCTCCTCTAACTTACAAGGATTTCCCCTTTTATAGAAGAGGGTCATTACCAAAAAATAATAAAATAAAACATGTAGTGGAAGACCCATGATGACTTGTCTCTTCCTTGATTCCCGCCAAGATTCTCTTTGTTGATGTGGTTGCAACGGCTCTTGTCTGTGAGCTCGATACTAGCTCGAACTCGTTACTGGGTCTGGCCCTTCGGTCTTGGATCGAGTTCGACCTTCGAGATGGGCGTCGCGCATTTTCGACCTCGAA